CCCCCCCCCCCCAATTTTTTGGTTGGGTGGGGGAAGGCTCCCTCGTCACCGTCACAATGTGTCCTCTTTCTTGCCACGACCCTATATTACAGATGCATTTCGCTAAACGAGTGGTAAGGATGTCGCTTATTGCCCTTGACCTACCTACAACTGTGAAAAAAAACTCAGTTCATGTTTGAAATAAGAGGTTAGACTTCGGGGGAGTGTCATTCACCACGTAACAAGTACGATAATCAGTTCTGATGCGAGTTTCTTTATTGATTTATTATTGGTAATTAAATTTCATTACATAACACGCTCCTCATAAACTGTCATTCTTTTAAAATACTGGATTTTTATTTGGTTAAATGAGAAGAGAAATAAGTGTCAACGTTTCTGAAAGGAGAATTCAGTTCTGACTAGTTCCTTCAATATTGTGACAACTCTCAGTTCAAAATCTCTAACAAGATTTTTCAAATACCATGAACATTCTCTGCATGATTTATCAATGGAGTGAAAGCCATGACCACTTAAAAATAAAATACAGAGTGAACATTTGTTGGATGTAAGAGAACATAACGGTAAATTTTGTACTGTATTTGTAATAAAAATGAGTAGAACTGTTTTAAATTACATATGACACAACCTTAATTATTCAACGAGGGATATTGAATATTTACACATAATCTCTGGTCACATATGCTACATATCGATATGCACAATAAGTTACAAACAATATTAATCTCAGCATTTGCACTGACATAGTATTTACAGTATTTACTTTGTACAATCAGTAAAAAAATATTGATAGTAAAACTCTTACAATTATACATATATACATAGAAGGGCAATTTTACTAATCCACTTTAGATTCTATGCAGTCTGTTGGGTGCAGACACCAGATATGGCTTGCTCTTAGTTCCTATAATATTTAAGTGAATTTCGGTCACTATTCCCTGAACCAAACACGGAATTGCAAGGGATTAAACCCACCCGAGATGATTGTTTTCAGTCAGTTACATAATAAACCATATAAACCACTACTCTTTTGTCATCTTTTGTTGAATTTGTCACTTCAAAACAGAAATAAGACGGAGTTGCTAAACATTATCAATTGCTGATTTTGTTCGCTGTTCTACAATGGTCTCAATTAGAACTATCGAACTATGCGTAGGGGAAACATAGGTCATTTGTACAAGAAATAACATACTTTTTCAAATGAGGTGATTGACCTTGTTTCTTTGAAAAACTCCCTGAAAGAGAGAATTTGTAGCTGACTGTATCGGCAGTGTGAAAAACTGCAACTGTGAGGCACATCGTCGGTCTGAAGACCACATTGAGGGCAGGTTTCTGGAAATTATGGTCAGGGGCGAAGAGTTCACCGCTTCGACAGGCGGGCTCAGCGACCGAAGTTTGTGCTTCTGGAACATCTTTGGCAGTGGGCTTGTCGCACCATGTACACGAAACGTCTCGGACGCGTGGGTCCGGGGCGCAGTCTCCCTATCTAACACTATCACCATACACTATAATCACACTCATACACAGCTCTCTTGCTGCGACGCCATCGCCATGAGCGGTGTCCGTACTGTCACGATCTCGCGCAGCGGCGGCGGCATTCCCGCCATGCCACCTGGCGTGCTGGCCGACGGCGACAGCGGCGTGCCCAGCGACGGCGGGGTACCAGCCAGGCCCGTCGTCATCCCCTTCCGGGAGTGGTCGATCTGCGCGTAGATGGTGGGCTCCCGGCCGCAGGTCGCCACCCCTCTCCGCAGCGTGCCGCCGCCGTTGGCGTCCGTGCAGGCGGCCCTCCCGGACAGCACCAGCTCGGCGTACGTTACCTCGTCGTCCTGCAACAAAAAAAAACACCTCGTCAGTATACAGGATCCATTCGAGCTCTCCTCCATAAGTCAATATACATCCCCAGACAAAAATCATAAACTCAGGGGAAAAAAAACAAAAAAAACAGCCTATGCTTGAATTTATAGTGTTGTACCCCTCGGGCACAGTCCGCTCGCGCCGCAGCGGCTGGCCTGGACAGGCATTCCTGTTTCACACCACACAGCAGGCGCCTCTCTTAGCTTTGATGTCGGGTCCGCCCGCAGCCAGCCCCGGCCTGGCCTGGGCCCGTCTATAGATGTGGTGCGCTTCGGGCAGGCCTGCCGAGCCCCAGCCTAGCGCACCAAAGAACAATGCAGCGGCGGGGCGGGGCAGGGCGTGGCGGCATACAGGCTGCTGAATGCGCTCTCAATAAAGCCCCAGCACCGCAGCACCTCCGCCACACTGGACACACAGGGGTCGCCCCTTTCACCTTTCCTCCAGTCGTATGGAGCAGAGCTCGTACTATGCCTATCATTATTACCAAAATTACTCCCCCCCACTCTCTTTTCTCGTCCCTCTCTGGGGAGTAGCAGAACCGGCGCCTCAGCCCCGACACTCCGGCGCCGTCCGTCAGCAGGTCGCCCCGAGGAGACGAGAGCCCAGAGTGGTCCGAGTATACAAGGGCGTCAGGTTCAGCGCGACACAGAAGAGAAGAAGCGACATAACGAACAAACGCGTCCGTATTTATTATTCTTTTTGCGCGTTTTCGTCGCCGAGCGCCCTCCTCCCGCGCTCCGCGCTCACAGGGAGGAGAGCGGGACACAGAAACTTGATCCTGCGCCGGCTACTCTCCCGCCCATTAATTCAAAATATTCCCCGCTCGGCGGGCTCGACGAGCCACCGCTGCGCTACACTGTGCCGACCCGTTTCCCTTTTACGTGCTTGTTCCTAATTTTCTTACATCCTTTCAAACGACGAAAACCGAAAGAAAAAGCAAACTGTTATTTAAGGCACGTCACACATTGTCACATGTGGCCTTCTATATCGTCATGAAAGACATTTCTCTTTGTTGTTCTACTTTTTTGTTTCGTTCACAACTGGGGAGTGGTGGTGTGGGATACTCGCAAGAGAAGAGCCAGCAGCAGGGCTCTCCAGCCGGTAGTGGAGAGAGGGATGGTAGTTAGGGGCGGCGGGGGTGTAACGTTACGCGATACAGGCGCCTCGAGCCGGCGGCGCGAGGCCAGGCCAGGCCCGGGCCACGTTATACCCGCCACGAGACATCAAACTGGCGGCGAGAGAGTGTCGGCCGGGGCGGGAAGCGCGTCCAAGAAACTATATACACAGGGAGACTACTTGGACTTGGATGCGATGAGACAGCATATAGGGAAGAAAGGGAAACGGGAGAATGGTGTAAATCATCTGCAGCCCTCACCTGCCGACCGATGTATCTCTCGCGCTCCACCTCGCGGTTGTCCTGCTTGCAGAAGACGTCCCCGTTGCGGAGCGTCGCGTGCACGCCGTGGTGGCCCGCGAGCACGCCGTTGTTGTCCGGGGTCGACTTCTGGCCCGGCGTGCCGAGCTGGTAGTCCGAGTCTGAAACAGAGGACAATGCGCGTACAGTCACTTGTCATCAATTACAACAGCAGGCGAAAGGAAACAGTGGGAAAGCTATTGGTGAACACGCATGTCAGTTTAAAACGCACCCTAGGCGTGCGAACGCGTAACCGCCGCACCGAATTGTGTGATTATTTGGCCAATGGACGTCATCAGGGGCGTCACGGACAACATAGCAGAACTGCAGTCGTGTTTGTGGAGAAAACAATTTTCATAACTACACGTTGCGCAGGAGGAGGGTCCAACTTCTCCATTTACGTTGCCCGGCGGAAGGGAGAGGGATGGGGCGTAGAAAACCACGTGGTCTGGAGGAGCGGACGGAGGCGACAAGCAGATGATTAAATTAGGCCCCATAGTTTATGGACGAACCCTGCGAGAATCATAACCTTGATAATGACTGATAGCGCAACTTGCCCCCCCCCCACTCATTGTGATATTGCGATTTCCCTCCTTACGCCCGTTATTTACAATTCGATATGCAAATTCGCCGGTCTGGCGCAAGGCCGCCACCGCTGCAGCTCCGCACCGCGAGGCCGCGGATTAAGATCGGGTGGCTGTGCGTCTAATCAGGCCGGGCCCAGCCGAGCCGGGCGGCCGGGCCCACTATCCCCTTCAAGCCGCCCTCCGCCCGGGCTCCGCCGGCTCCATGCGCCCGGGCCCCGGGCCGCGGCTGGGCTCTTTTCACGGCAGTTCACGTGAATGGAGGGCAATGAATCCTCAAACAAGGTATATCCTCTCCTCCCCAGGCAGCCCGAGGGCCTCCTCGGTCCGGGGCTAGACGAGCCCCTGCCCTCCCCTCACCCCCAGGTCGCTCGCGCTTGCCTGCACCCCATCACGCCCGGAGCGGGGAGTTGCCCGGAGCCCGAGGCCCGGAAGCAGCCCGCTTCAAGCTGCAAGGGGCCCGGAAGCCCCGGACGGCGTGGGCTCGGGAGGAGGCACTCCGGCAGCCCGGAGCCCAGGACTGTCAAGCCGAGCCAGGTGCTGCTGCTGTGTTCTGGTAATCCGGCAAACGCCTATTGGCTGCGCGACCAGCCAACTGGGCACGGCACGACCAGGTGTGCGGGGGATCTAAGTCCGAGCCATTTGAAAGGCAAAGGCAGACCTGCTCCCCCCGCGCGGCACCCTTCTCTTCTCGCCGCCAGCCACACCCTGTCAGCCCCCGAACACCCCCTTGATAAGTTCGGGCGAATAAAAAGAAAGGAAGACTCTGACCCCGATTTCCGGATAATGTTACAGCTGACGTCCACCCCCCCCCCCCCACACACACATTTTTTTAAAAAGTTGATCGCTGCTCAGATGACTATCGCACTGACATTCTGTGGGTACACCTGTCACAAAATGCACGACGTGGGGTGAATCAGTATAGTGTTGCGGGATTGCATACCCTCTTTGGCCGCAGGGGGGCATGGCTTCTTACGGGCGGAGAGGGGAGTAGGCAAACCCGCAACACTGCTCTGATACACCAGGTACACGGAGAAGGGCGTCGAAGTAAAGTACGCAGGTACAGCGCTGCACTGTTAATTCGTTTGTCACTCGCCGGTCCCCTCAAAAGGAATGGGAGTGGGGCGGTGGCAGTATCTAACCCAACCGCGGTGAGAAGAACAAGACCTGCTTTACAAAGACAAACATTGTTTCCCTTCTTCCCCAGTGGTGGCGCTCGGGCCCAGCAGCAGTCAGGTGCGTTTTAGCGAATGGTGTTTGTCTTGTCTCGTCTTGTTGTAGTTTTCTCCGGCTCCGAAACACTTCCATTTTCCGTTGCCTTTATTTATTGCGCGCCTCCCTTTGCCACCTCCTCCCCTGCTCCCGACCGCCCGCACAGAGGTGCGCGAGGTACCGCTGCGGCCCGTTAGGAATGTGGCCGAAAGAAAAGACAATTATTTCCCTCATTTATCCACGTGGCTATGGGGGGTCTCACGGGTCCACCAGTGGCGGTGGAGGCGGAAGCCGGGCGGCACGGAGGAGGAGGAGGAG